AGTATTGTACATAATTATTTCCTGCTCAGATTATATTTATATATTTTTAACCTTAAACATGTTTCACTTCTGTCTTTTTAATCTGAGTGATTCTGTCTGAGCCAAACGTGTGACATCAATAAAGTTAATCTTTCCTTAGTTTCAGTTTTGGTTCAGTTTATCTCAAAGCCATTTATTAAAACACAAGATTAAACATGAGTAAAAAAAAAAAAAACAGGATATTTTTTATTTGTAGTTCTTTGGTCGTGATGTGAAAAAGACATTCAAGAAAAACATATCTAAAAACAAGTAAAATACTGCTTAAAATACTAAAAATTATTTGCGAATAGAGAAAATATGACGTAAGATTTCTGAAAATAATAAAATAAAACTGGCCCCAAACGACTCTAGTTTAAAAACACACAATTAAAGCAATATTTACTGATTTATTAAACATTTTTGAGTTTTCTTAAAATACAGCATCACAAACTTATTTTAGCTAAAGAAAAGTCTGGAAATAAGAAAAAAAAAATTTAATTAAAAATTCACTGCTCAGACTTTTCTCTGAGATTATGAAGTATTTTAAAACTAGTAAAATAATCTTTTGACAAACTACATTCAAACAACAACAAACTTCCCATTCAAGAAATAAGCACAATTTATGTTATTTTTGGTCAATAAAGACGTATTTTATACTTTTATTGTGAAAGTATTAATCTGTATAATTTATTACAATAGAAATGAAACACTTTAAGTCAAATGTCTTCAGTCAAATCTGTTCCAGGGGCCAGCTGTGGCCCTAAGCTTCAGGTTCTGTGGCCCTCTGTCTCGCTAACCCACAGCCGTCTCTGAGATGATCAACACACGTTCACTGTGTCATTCAGCCAACTTCAGCTCAGACATACAGACCTGTTGGATCATTTAAAACCTCCGAACAGCCCGATGTCCGTCAAGACAGTTTTTCAGTCCGTGACGTCGGGTCTGGACCAGTCTGAGGAACTAAAGTGGCCTCTTACTAAAAGTTTGGACACCCCTGGTTTAAATGCTAATAAAGCAGTCGTCTTTTGTTCTGATGGAGGAACGGCGTTTGATCCATGGGTTCGTTTCCTTCTGGCTCGATGCGGACCTAATGTGAGTGTGGAAAAGTGGAAAATGTAATTAGGCCGCCAACGGGGGTCTGTGTCACTTTGCACGACCCCCCCCCCATCCTCCCCAGACCCCCCCACACTCACCCCCCCTCACCCAGTCAACCTTTGCTCTTTACCCACACTGCAAAAAAAAGGCAAAATAGAAGGTTATAAACGTTTCAATCTCTGGTTTTTATCTTAATTTGAGTTTTTTCTTTGAGTTTTTTTAGACCGTAGACTGAAAGAGAGAGAGGCAGAGAATGTAGAAGAGAGGGGGGGTAATTTATTATTATATTTATATTATATTTTATTTTATTTAGTTTTATCCCTGATGAGTCCAGAGCATAACGCACTGGAAAAAATCTCTTACAAAAAAGTAAAATACTGATTAAAATACGAAATGTTTTAAATGTATAATTAATTTATACCAATAGAACAAGAAAATATAACCTGACTAAACGTAAAAACTTACATTTCAAGTGTTATTTTATTATTTCTTAAACATTTTCGAGTTTTCTTAGAATACAGCATCACAAACTAATTTTATCTAAAGAAGAAAAGTCTGGAAATAAGAAAAATTACTTAAAACAAACTTAAAAACTCACGGCTCAGACTTTTTCCTCTGAAAAGTTTATGAAGTATCTTAAAACTAGTAAAATAAAAAAACAGCAGATTCAAGGTTTTATCGAGACGTTGGAAGAGAGTTTGAGAGATTTGTGCTGAACCGATCTGAACCGAGTCATTTCAAAACATTTAAGGAATTTATCAAAAACTATGATGTTAAACTGATAAATCTGATCAAATCCAAGCTAAAAGAATGGGATTACACTGCTAAAAAATCCAAATTTGTTATAAAAACTGGCCTTTTTCTATTCAGTATTTGTCTAATTAGCGATGAACCTGGTCTGGAGTCATTGATATAAATAATAATAATAATAATAAAAATATGTTAAAACGGCTCAAAAACATCAAATATGCTCCAATAAATATAAGTTCTATGAAACCGTCAGTATTTGTCTAAACAGGTGCTCCCAGTTCCCAGAGGTCTCCCATCACAGCGCTAACCAGGCCCTGCTCTGCTTGGCTTCAGAGGACGGAGACGGGATCTGGCTTTAGGAGGTTTGAATATTATCTTATAAAGATTTAGACTTGGACAGCTCTGTGATGAGGACCACATGTATTTACATCTGTGGTCCTCTCCCTCCCCCGTGGACACCCCTCCCTCACCTCTCTCCCCCGTGGACACCCCTCCCTCACCTCTCTCCCCCGTGGACACGCCTCCCTCCCCCACAGACACACCTCCCTCACCTCTCTCCCCCGTGGACACGCCTCCCTCCCCCACAGACACACCTCCCTCACCTCTCTCCCCCGTGGACACACCTCCCTCCCCTGTGGACACCCCTCCCTCACCTCTCTCCCCCGTGGACACCCCTCCCTCACCTCTCTCCCCCGTGGACACCCCTCCCTCACCTCTCTCCCCCGTGGACACCCCTCCCTCATGGACACCCCTCCCTCAACTGCCTCCCCCGTGGACACCCCTCCCTTCCCTGTGGACACCCCTCCCTCACCTCTCTCCCCCGTGGACACCCCTCCCTCACCTCTCTCCCCCGTGGGCACCCCTCCCTCACCTCTCTCCCCCGTGGACACCCCTCCCTCACCTCTCTCCCTCGTGGACACCCCTCCCTCACCTCTCTCCCCCGTGGGCACCCCTCCCTCACCTCTCTCCCTCGTGGACACCCCTCCCTCACCTCTCTCCCTCGTGGACACCCCTCCCTCACCTCTCTCCCCCGTGGACACCCCTCCCTCACCTCTCTCCCCCGTGGGCACCCCTCCCTCACCTCTCTCCCCCGTGGACACCCCTCCCTCACCTCTCTCCCCCGTGGGCACCCCTCCCTCACCTCTCTCCCCCGTGGGCACCCCTCCCTCACCTCGCTCCCTCGTGGGCACCCCTCCCTCACCTCTCTCCCCCGTGGACACCCCTCCCTCACCTCTCTCCCTCGTGGACACCCCTCCCTCACCTCTCTCCCTCGTGGACACCCCTCCCTCACCTCTCTCCCTCGTGGGCACCCCTCCCTCACCTCTCTCCCCCGTGGGCACCCCTCCCTCACCTCTCTCCCCCGTGGACACCCCTCCCTCATGGACACCCCTCCCCCTCACCTCGCTCCCTCGTGGGCACCCCTCCCTCACCTCTCTCCCCCGTGGACACCCCTCCCTCACCTCTCTCCCTCGTGGACACCCCTCCCTCACCTCTCTCCCTCGTGGACACCCCTCCCTCACCTCTCTCCCTCGTGGACACCCCTCCCTCACCTCTCTCCCTCGTGGGCACCCCTCCCTCACCTCTCTCCCCCGTGGACACCCCTCCCTCATGGACACCCCTCCCTCAACTGCCTCCCCCGTGGACACCCCTCCCTCACCTCTCTCCCCCGTGGGCACTCCTCCCTCACCTCTCTCCCCCGTGGGCACCCCTCCCTCACCTCTCTCCCTCGTGGACACCCCTCCCTCACCTCTCTCCCTCGTGGACACCCCTCCCTCACCTCTCTCCCCCGTGGGCACCCCTCCCTCACCTCTCTCCCTCGTGGACACCCCTCCCTCACCTCTCTCCCTCGTGGACACCCCTCCCTCACCTCTCTCCCTAGTGGACACCCCTCCCTCCACCTCTCTCCCCCGTGGGCACCCCTCCCTCACCTCTCTCCCTCGTGGGCACCCCTCCCTCACCTCTCTCCCCCGTGGGCACCCCTCCCTCACCTCTCTCCCTCGTGGACACCCCTCCCTCACCTCTCTCCCCCGTGGGCACCCCTCCCTCACCTCTCTCCCCCGTGGGCACCCCTCCCTCACCTCTCTCCCCCGTGGGCACCCCTCCCTCACCTCTCTCCCCCGTGGGCACCCCTCCCTCACCTCTCTCCCCCGTGGGCACCCCTCCCTCACCTCTCTCCCTCGTGGACACCCCTCCCTCACCTCTCTCCCCCGTGGGCACCCCTCCCTCACCTCTCTCCCTCGTGGACACCCCTCCCTCACCTCTCTCCCTCGTGGACACCCCTCCCTCACCTCTCTCCCTAGTGGACACCCCTCCCTCACCTCTCTCCCCCGTGGGCACCCCTCCCTCACCTCTCTCCCTCGTGGGCACCCCTCCCTCACCTCTCTCCCCCGTGGGCACCCCTCCCTCACCTCTCTCCCTCGTGGACACCCCTCCCTCACCTCTCTCCCCCGTGGGCACCCCTCCCTCACCTCTCTCCCCCGTGGGCACCCCTCCCTCACCTCTCTCCCCCGTGGGCACCCCTCCCTCACCTCTCTCCCCCGTGGGCACCCCTCCCTCACCTCTCTCCCCCGTGGGCACCCCTCCCTCACCTCTCTCCCCCGTGGACACCCCTCCCTCACCTCTCTCCCCCGTGGGCACCCCTCCTCTTCCTGTCAGTGAGTGTCTGTGTTGGTGCTGTCAGGGACAGAGGCTCTCAGACAGGTACATGCAAACTGACACACCCCCACCACCCCCCACCACCCCCCCACACACACACACACACACACACACATCCGCGGCCCCCCCACCAACCCCACACACACACACACCCCCACACACAAGCACATCCTCCCCCCCCCACCCCCAAACTGTGGAGCCTCGCTGGTAATACTGATTGTGTTGTTTATAATTTGCAGAAGTCAATCTGTTCACTTTTGTTGTTCAAAGTTTGTCGATAAAGTTTAGTGGTGACGTCACTTCCTGTTTACAAGCCCTGTAATGGCACAGAGCTCCGCTAGTTGCAGCTACAGAATCCATGTCCATCTTTTGCTAAAGACTGGTCCATCAATGTCGTAAGTAACTGGGACATGATTAGATACTTATATTTGTGTGATTCAAAGTTTATTTTGTTAAAAAATTGCAGTTAGTTCATTTGAAATGCATGATTAAGTTGCTAAAAAAAAACGCTATGCTAAAATGTGCTATGCTAAGAGAAGCTGCATTTGTAGTATGCCTGGTTAACATTATCATTTATGTGAAACTGAATATTTCTTGTTTTTCTGTATTTTTATGCAGTTTTCACTCCATGTTATGGTGAAAGAGTCTTCACAGTAAAGAAACGAAATACTACGTCGACTCGTCTCTTTGTCATGAATGGAGTTTAGCTTGGTGTTTTGTCCACGGTTCCTACGCCTTGACAAGAACATTATAGTGAAAAGACAAAGAATCAGCACGCAAGATGGCTTCAAAAAGTGGATCCTCTACAGCTAGCTCAGCAGGACGAGCAAGGGCAAAGGCTGAAGCCGCTAAGATACGAGCAGACTATGCGGTAAAACAACTCGAACTACAACTAGAGACTGCAGCTAAAGATAAAGAAAAAGCAAAAAAGAAGCAGAACTAGAGTTTGAAAAAGCTAAACTGCAGGCACAGCTTGAAGTAATGAAAGTGCAATGTGAAGCAGAAGCTAGAGCACGTGAAGCACAAGTTTTAGAAATGGCAGAGGACTTGCAAAGTGTGGATGAAGAAGGTGAAAGAGAACATGCATCAGAACAGGAAGCAAAAATTAAACGCACCAAAGAGTATGTGAAATCACAATCCACTTACAAAAGTATTCCTCCACCATCACAAATATCAGTAGAAAATCAATTGCACGAAGATGGTGTGTTCAAGTCAGTCGATTCCTGCATACGTGAGGCGTTGCCAGATAAAAAGGCAAGGCATTCACATGACACCATGAAAAGATATGAAGACCATTATGATTCATATTTGACAACACAAAATAGAATAAAAGGAGAAAACAAATGTAAATTTGCACATTCAGGGGAGAAAGCAGATCAAACTTATCAACCTTATTCCCAGAGAAAGCTTAACATAAATGCTCCACCCTTTTCTTCAAATACTGGCTGCTTAACACCGGCAATAGACCCACTAGCACAGTACTTAGCCAGACGAGATCTAACAAACTGTGGTTTGTATCAGTTTGATGATAAACCGGAGAATTACCGTGCATGGTATGCATCATTTGCTAGTACAACAAATGACATACAGCTAAGCGCAGTGCAACTACTTGATCTCATGATTAAATGGCTTGGAAAGGAGTCATGTGAATATGTAAAACGAATAAGAGCAGTTTATATTAACAACCCATCTGAAGCACTGAGTAAAGCATGGGATCGGCTTGAAGAGTGTTACGCTGCTCCAGAGATAATAGAAAAGTCTCTTTTTGAGCGTCTGGAGAACTTTCCAAGACTTAATGCCAGAGACAATGTTAAACTACGTGAGCTTGGAGATTTGCTGACAGAAATACTCGGTGCGAAAGAAGACGGTTATCTGGCTGGCCTGTCATTTCTAGACACGTCACGTGGCATATCACCCATCGTAACCAAGTTACCATTTGGACTCCAAGAAAAATGGCTCTCTTCGGGATCCAAATACAAAGAAGAAAATTGTGGACTTTTTCCTCCTTTTCGCTACTTCTGTGAGTTTGTGTGCTATGAGGCAAAGAAAAGGAATGATCCCAGCTTTATGACTCCAACGGCCATATTCATTTCAAAAACAGACCGAACACCACTCAAGAAAACAATGTATGATAAACCTATCATAGTGCAGAAAACGGACATTTCTTCACAACAATACAGCAGAACAACAAACTCAGACCCATCCAAAGTGTGCCCTTTACACAATAAGCCACATTCACTCCAAAGTTGCAAGGCATTTCGAAACAAACGTATAGAAGAAAGAAAAGATTTCCTCAAGAAAAGTGGAATTTGTTTTAAATGTTGCATTTCATCATCACATTTAGCTAAGGAATGTAAGGCATCTATTAAATGTTCTGAATGCGAGTCAATATATCACATCTCAGCCATGCATCCAAACACACCATATCCACACCCAAAGGACCCACCAATTCAACAGGCGAATGGCGGGGAGTCTGGAACCACTAAAGTAGACAATTCTGACATCGCAGATACTACAGTGGTAACTTCAAACTGTACTGAGGTATGTGGTAAAGAACAGTTTGGACGCTCATGTGCTAAAATATGCCTTGCAAAGATCTATCCACAAAATGCTGTACACAAAGCGATAAAGACGTATGTGATAATAGATGATCAGAGCAATCGCTCTTTGGCCAGACCAGAGTTTTTCAGTATGTTTGGAATACAAACCGAGCCTTCATGTTACCAGCTAAGAACCTGTTCAGGCATGACAGAAACGTTAGGAAGACGTGCAGATGGATTTGTGATAGAGTCCATTGAAGGGAATATGGCAATTCCGCTTCCGTCACTTATAGAGTGTTGTGACATTCCGAATAACCGCGCAGAGATCCCAACTCCAAATGCTGTTATTCATCAGCCTCATTTGCAACACATTGCTAAGCATCTCCCAGAACTCGATCCAAATGCTAAAATACTGCTTCTTCTCGGCAGAGACATTTTAAGACTACATAAGGTCAGACAACAAGTAAACGGACCTCACAATGCCCCGTTTGCACAACGATTAGATCTTGGCTGGGTGATAGTAGGCGAAGTGTGCCTCGGAGCCAGTCACAAGCCCATTGTAAACAACTTCAAAACAACTATTTTCGAGAGTGGTCGTCCTTCCATCTTTCAACCATGTACAAGCTACATGCAAATAAAGGACTCGCTACCAAAACTCAAGTCTTCTACAAAAGTCACAGAGGAAACACTTGGAAAAACAGTTTTTGACAAAACTGACAAGGACAACAGACTTGCTCCATCAATTGACGATGCAATGTTTATGGACATAATGGACAAGGAAGCGCACCAAAATGCCAAAAACACATGGGTGGCTCCGCTTCCATTCAAAAAGCCACGGCCGTCTCTTCCAAACAATAAAGAGCAGGCTATAAAAAGATTTGTGTCGCTAGAAAAAACATTTAAACGGAATCCCAAAATGCAGGAACAGTACTTTACATTCATGGACAAAATCTTTCAAAACGGACACGCTGAAGTCGCACCACCGCTCGAGGAGAATGAGGAATGCTGGTTTTCTCCCCACATTTGGAGTATATCATCCTCGAAAGCAAGACCAGATTCGTGTGGTGTTCGATTCAAGCTCACAGTATCAAGGAATCTGCTTAAACGATGTATTGCTAACCGGACCTGATCTAAACAACACGTTAATTGGTGTTTTATTACGCTTTCGCAAGGAGAAAGTAGCAGTGTTGGCAGACATTCAGCAAATGTTCTACTGTTTTGAAGTAACAGAGCCTCATCAGAACTTCCTCAGGTTTCTGTGGTACGAAGAGAATGACGTCAACAAAAAAGTAATTGATTATCGCATGAAAGTCCATGTATTTGGCAATAGTCCCTCACCTGCCGTTGCGGTATATGGCCTGAGAAGAGCAATCAGGGAAGGAGCTCCAAAGTACGGTGAGGACACTGTGGAGTTTGTCGAGAGGCATTTTTACGTTGATGATGGGCTCATTTCCGTTCCTACTGATCACCAAGCAGCGGACCTTCTCAAAAGAACACAGTTGTCACTCGCAGAGTCAAATATCCGCCACCACAAATTCATCTCAAACAGCCAAGATGTTCTAAAAGCTTTGTCCCAAGATGATTGTGCGACACCAGTGAAGGACTTGGATCTTAGTGGAGAAACCCAGTCCACTCAGCGGAGTTTGGGCCTTTTATGGGAGATATCAACCGATACGTTTACCTTTTCAGTCTCAACAGATCCAAAGCCTTTCACACGTCGTGGTGTGTTATCAATGGTAAACAGCATATTTGACCCTCTAGGTTTCCTGGCTCCGGTCACAACGCATGGAAGAGCCCTTCTAAGAGAGCTTACAGCTGACGATTCTGATTGGGACACGCCACTTGCAGATGAAAAACATGACAAATGGGACAACTGGCACAAATCTCTTCAAGATATCAAACGGTTGCACATCCAACGAACATATACGAACATGTCACTTGGTAACGCCGAACGCAAAGAGCTTATCGTGTTCTCTGATGCCTCTGTGAAGGCGATTGGAGCTGTTGCTTATCTGAAGACATATCAGAAGAATGGCAACACAGAGATTGGATTTGTTATGGCTAAAGGAAAGTTAGCCCCCAGATCGGAACCCACAATTCCGCGTTTGGAACTCTGTGGAGCTGTCTTGGCTGTGGAATTAGCTGATCTCATCCAAGAAGAGTTGGATGTAAAGTTCGATGAAGTAAGATTCTACACAGACAGTAAAGTTGTACTTGGGTACATCCATAATACCAGTAAAAGGTTCTATGTCTATGTGCACAACAGGATTCAGCGCATATGTCATTCCACAAAACCAGAGCAATGGCAGCATGTTCCTTCTGAAGAAAATCCGGCTGATCATGTTTCACGATTCATTCCAGCCTCTTCCCTGACCCAAACAACGTGGTTCACTGGACCTTCATCCTTGAGAAATACAACAAGAAAGGACAATCACACCATTGAAAGGTTTGAACTCATACAACCAGATGAGGACGTTGAAATCAGACCTGAAGTTAGAACCTACTGCACAGGCATCAGAGAGAACTTTTTTGACCCCAATCGTTTTCAACGTTTCTCAACTCTCCAGTCACTTGTAAGAGCTTTGGCCTGCTTGATCCACATAGTCAAATGTTACAAACAAACAAACAAGGACGGTCAATGTAAAGGATGGCACTGGTGCAAGCAACCACATTCACCAGAAGAACTAGACCAAGCAATGGTGGTTATTCTCAAGGCAGTTCAAGCATCTGCTTTCCAAAAAGAACTCGCAGCATTACGTGTTGAAAAACTCATTCCAAAAGACAGTTGTCTTCAAAAACTCAATCCCATCATCGTTGATGACTTAATCCGTATTGGAGGTCGGCTCAAGCATTCAAACATGTTCACAAATGAAAAACATCCTGTAGTTTTGCCAAAGAACAGTCACATAGCTTTACTGCTGACACGCCACCACCACATCCAGGTGAAACATCAAGGCCGTCACTTGACGGAGGGGGCCATAAGAGCAGCAGGGTACTGGATTGTCAGTGGCAAACGTCTAGTCAACACAGTCATTCACAACTGCATAATATGCAAGAAACTCAGAGGTAAATTTCAAGAACAACACATGTCAGATTTACCTCCGGAACGGTGTCAAGCATGTCCTCCATTCACCTATGTTGGACTCGATGTTTTTGGTCCGTGGATGGTCGTAGCAAGGAGAACCCGTGGTGGACACGCCGAAAGCAAAAGGTGGGCAATCATGTTTAGTTGCTTAACTTCCAGAGCGGTCCACATTGAGCTTATAGAGACTATGGATACATCAAGTTGTGTCAATTCAATCAGGCGTTTCTTTGCTCTTAGAGGACCAGCCAGGAAGTTGATGTCTGACTGTGGTACAAACTTCGTTTCCGCTAGCAAAGAACTTGGAATGGACAAAAACTCAAAAGACCCAAAGATTCAAAGATTTCTCAGTGAAAATGGATGTGTTTGGGAGTTCAACCCTCCTCATGCGTCACATATGGGAGGGAGCTGGGAGAGAATGATAGGTGTTACTCGAAGGATCTTAGACTCCATGTTTCTCCAGCTAAAAGTTGATCTCACCCATGAAGTTTTATCCACTTTGATGGCAGAAGTTACTGCGATCATGAATGCACGGCCACTAGTACCTGTTTCTACGGACCCCGATGTTCCACTAGTCCTTTCTCCAAACATGCTCCTCACACAAAAGTCTGGTGTTCTTCCACCGCTTGGGGACTTTCCAGAGAAGGACATGCACATTAAACACTGGAGACAAGTACAAGCACTGGCAAATTACTTCTGGACACGGTGGCGCAAGGAATATCTGCCATGCTTGCAAATCAGACAAAAATGGAACACTCATCACAAAGACTTACAAGTTGGAGACGTGGTCCTGCTTAAAGACAAGCAAGCTGAACGGAACCACTGGCCAATGGGAAGAATAAGTTCCACTTTTCCCAGCAAAGACGGACACGTTAGGAAAGTGGAGATAACTATAGTTGACCAGGGCACTTTGAAGACGTATCTTAGACCTGTTACTGAAGTCATTTTGCTTCTCCCTGCAGTTTAAGTTGGTTGGTAATGTGAAAAGTAGTAGTGACCCCTTAGAGGTCAGGCGGGGAGTGTGTTGTTTATAATTTGCAGAAGTCAATCTGTTCACTTTTGTTGTTCAAAGTTTGTCGATAAAGTTTAGTGGTGACGTCACTTCCTGTTTACAAGCCCTGTAATGGCACAGAGCTCCGCTAGTTGCAGCTACAGAATCCATGTCCATCTTTTGCTAAAGACTGGTCCATCAATGTCGTAAGTAACTGGGACATGATTAGATACTTATATTTGTGTGATTCAAAGTTTATTTTGTTAAAAAATTGCAGTTAGTTCATTTGAAATGCATGATTATGTTGCTAAAAAAAAACGCTATGCTAAAATGTGCTATGCTAAGAGAAGCTGCATTTGTAGTATGCCTGGTTAACATTATCATTTATGTGAAACTGAATATTTCTTGTTTTTCTGTATTTTTATGCAGTTTTCACTCCATGTTATGGTGAAAGAGTCTTCACAGTAAAGAAACGAAATACTACGTCGACTCGTCTCTTTGTCATGAATGGAGTTTAGCTTGGTGTTTTGTCCACGGTTCCTACGCCTTGACAAGAACATTATACTGATCTAATGCACCAACACTTCTTTAACTACACCTTTTGATTCACTGTTTCTACTTAAATCTTGTAACCTGTAATCTATAATCTGTAATCTGTAATTTAAAATCTATAATCTTTAACTATAACCTTTAATCTATAATCCGTAATGTAACCTGTGACCTGTGTTTTGTAATCTGAAACCTGTAATCTGTAAAATTTAATCTGTAATGTCAAAAAAATAATTGTACATTGCTTTTTCATTTTTATTTTATCAAAATCAAGACAAACAGCAGAAATATAAGAAAAACAAAAGAACACGAAGCAAAGGGACCAAAGAAAAAAACAAAAATATAAAAAACCCAGAACAAAACAAAGGATTTTTGACATTCACAAAAACTAAAAATGTCTAAAAATCTGATTTTCTTTTCTGTGATGAAGAATCATGAATACGATCCCAGTGCTGCACATTTCTTTAAGTGTTAAAGCTGTGGCACTATTGAACACATGTGTTAAGGATCCCAGCTTTGATATCGATTTAAAAGACCAATATTATCTTAAAGCTCAAACATGACACGCTACATTTCACTTTGTGGCGCAGGAAGAAGATATTGTTTCAGAAAAGCCACAAATGGAAAAATCATCTTGGGCCAAGTTTTATAAATCATTTTTGTGACATCTCCAGACTTTTTTCCCAGAATTCCTAGATCAAACAGACGGCAACAATAGCCCCAAATCCCCCTCAGCTCTCTCTTTTCTCGCTCTCTCTTTTCTCGCTCTCGTTCCAAAATTAGTTAAGCCTCTCAGCTCCGTCAACAAACCTCCAAACGCCTCAAAGTCCACAGCGATCGGAAAATATTAACAACCGTTCTCTCAGACCGAACTAAAATGCGGATTTGTAAATATCAGAAATTAAAAGCATTGGGTCAAAAAACAGGAGTTGGACAAACTGGAGAATTTACTACAGAGTCGACTTTTTCGATGGTGCGCTCGGAAACCATGGATCTGTAATAATATCTGGATAGTATTACTAGGATTATAGCAGTTCCACCCATGACCACAGGGGGCGCTACTGGTACTGCAGACTTCATTCACGTTACCCAGAAAAAAGTCCCATAGAACTCAATATAAACTAAAACAGCTCGACCTCAGCTGACAGAGAACCTGACAGAGAACCTGACAGAGAACCTGACAGAGAACCTACAGAGAACCTACAGAGAACCTGACAGAGAACCTGACAGAGAACCTACAGAGAACCTGACAGAGAACCTAACAGAGAACCTGCAGAGAACCTACAGAGAACCTGACAGAGAACCTGCAGAGCACCTACAGAGAACCTGACAGAGAACCTGCAGAGAACCTACAGAGAACCTGACAGAGAACCCGACAGAGAACCTACAGAGCACCTACAGAGAACCTGACAGAGAACCTGCAGAGAACCTACAGAGAACCTGACAGAGAACCTGACAGAGAACCTGACAGAGAACCTACAGAGAACCTGACAGAGAACCTGACAGAGAACCTACAGAGAACCTACAGAGAACCTACAGAGAACCTGACAGAGAACCTACAGAGAACCTGACAGAGAACCTAACAGAGAACCTGCAGAGAACCTACAGAGAACCTACAGAGAACCTGCAGAGAACCTACAGAGAACCTGACAGAGAACCCGACAGAGAACCTACAAAGAACCTACAGAGAACCCGACAGAGAACCTACAAAGAACCTACAGAGAACCTGACAGAGAACCTACAAAGAACCTACAGAGAACCTGCAGAGAACCTACAGAGAACCTGCAGAGAACCTACAGAGAACCTGACAGAGAACCTACAGAGAACCTGACAGAGAACCTACAAAGAACCTGCAGAGAACCTACAGAGAACCTGACAGAGAACCTGACAGAGAACCTGACAGAGAACCTACAAAGAACCTACAGAGAACCTGACAGAGAACCTGACAGAGAACCTGACAGAGAACCTACAGAGAACCTACAGAGAACCTGACAGAGAACCTACAGAGAACCCGACAGAGAACCTGACAGAGAACCCGACAGAGAACCCGACAGAGAACCCGACAGAGAACCTGACAGAGAACCTTGGTCAGAACGCTACCCCTCTGTGCAGGTGCATGAGAGTCACACACATTATTTGGCGCAAAGCATCATGGGAGCTCGTCCAGTGTAAAGAACCGGAAGGACCAGACTATGACCAAATATGGGTGAGTTCCTCTAACCTCTCTGTGCTCGTGTGTGTCCGACTGAGCACGAGCCGCTGACCTGAACAGGCCGCCATCTTGGATCACGAGGCTTGAATGAGCTCCAGCTGAACTTTAGCCCCGCCCATGCTAACCTCCACAGCTTTCTGATTGGAGCAATGAATTCAAATCTCCAGAAAATCTTACTGGTCGTAGTTAGGCCAAGGGGAGGGAATATTTTACATTTTGATTTGTTGAAAAATACTTTACATAATAGGAAAGTAAATGGAAAGCAACATTTAACTTGGAAAAATCTATAAAGTAAAAATTCCACACATTCATTTTCTTCCGCTTCATCCGTTGCTGGGTCTCAGGGGCATAAAAAGATGACTGAAACATGCCAATAGTAAAGAAGGTTCGTGGTTAAATTGACAAAAATATTAATAAACAAGAAGTGAGTTAAACACTTATGTCAGGATTCCCATTCAAAACTTACCAGTATGAGCCTGAAGGTTGTGGGTTTGAGTCCACCGCGAGACCTTCTCCACCAACTCCCAGTGATGTCTGCTGTCGTTGTGTCCTCGGGCAAGACACTTAACCCCACTTTGCCTTTAAGGAGCTCCTTGATGTGTATATATGTATTCATCAAAACTGAAATTTCCAAACTTCAGGAACAACATTCTTCTTTTTCTTCTACATGTTTCCCTTTTGAACCAATCACCTGCTTTTGAATCAATCCAAACCAACTCCTTTCACTTTTCCTCGTCCACGTTTCTGTTTTTTTCTGTGTCTGCTGCAACTTGATGAGTTTGGAATCTCCGGCCGCCGTCCTCCGTGGTCAAGACCGAGTTGACAGATTGTGAACATTGGACAAAAGAATAAATAATCTGAAATAAGTCCTGCGCCTGCTCCCAGGGCTGACGGACCCAGACCGACTCCTGATGTCCCTCTGAGTCCTGGTCCGGGGCTGACGGCCCAAAACCACACAAATGCACACGGCTGCTCTCCGTACTCAACTTTGCCAGCCATTAAAACTTCAGGGATGTGATTTGGGGGGAGGGAGGGGTGAGGGAAGAGGGGTGAGGGGGGTGAGGGGGGTTAGCTGAAGGTTCTGCCCTGGGAAGAGGCCTTGTCTGGGGCTTGGAGTGATCCGGTTTCACACAGTTGTCACTCGCGGTGGCAGGTCCTCAGCCTCCGAGCTTCTTACAGCCTGTCACCGCTGAACTTAATGCTAATCGTATGCTAATATTCCATAAAAAAACTAAAACCATGTCAGGAGTTTAAAATCACACCGAAAATAAACATTTTGACCATTGGGAAGTGGAATCTTAAATGCGGGGCCTGACTTGACGAGGATTATGTTTGATTCTGTGCAAAACTACGGCCCGAGAGCCAAATGCGGCCCGCTGTGTCATTCTACGTGGTCCGCTGTCGTTAACACAAAGTCACCATTGAGATACTTTTGCAGTGTCATTCAGCCAACTTATTCTCCACCAATAGTCGAGCTGTACCTCCTCGTAAAGCTCTGACCCTTTAGAATCCATGTTATTTGTAAATGAGTAACAAAAGTCTAAAGTCCATAAAAGGTTCTGATGCAGCTGTGGTGAGTGACATCACACAGTCGTAGTTTCATCTTTTCAGTTTGTGACATTTTCTCCATTGTGAGATCTGTTAAAGTTTATCTTTTTAGTAATCGTGACTTTGAGAAACTCGGAAAATTAGATTATTGTTCAAATTATTATAGGTCAAATGTGTTTCTGTAACAACTTTAAATGACGACGATCACTCCACACAAAGCGACATGTGCGAAGTCTTTGTTATAAAATGAATGAATAACTGATTATGGCTCACGGTCAATTTGTACGAGTCATAATAACAACAATGAAAGCTTTTATTTGTAGTGCGTCTGTCATGTATTAGTTTCACAAAGTTATGTTTGTCTCTTACAGAAGAAGAACACATATTCTGGAAACATCAGTAACTTTAACAGGTGCCATTACAAGACCACGATATCAGATTCATTACATATGCGCTGTACGTTTACTCCAGATAAAGTAGTCCGTTTTAATCAATGCTTTAAGTTTCACCTTTAGGTACGTTTTCAAGATCATACAAGCAAAAGTTTGAAGGAGCTTTGATCCTAAAGCTTTTCATCCCGATAAGTTGAAAGAATAAAAACATATTAGAACTTTAAAGTAGAAATATGTAAGATTTTCATGTCAAGTAATCATTAAAGATTTGTTGTTGACAAAACTCTTGTCTATTCAGCTGTTATGGTCCCAGCTGGATTCGTCTGCATATCTGGCAACCTGAGTCAGGGAGAGTGGGAGAGGCTGCAGTACCACTTTGGGCCACATGTTGTCTACATACTGCTCCTTTAAAGTATTGATACTAAACTAATCTATGTAACTCAAATAAAGCGTCAGGTTTGTAAAGAGCTGTTGATTTTTTGTTCAAAATGAAGCGAGAATAAAATAAAAAAGGCTAGAATTGACAAAGGAATATTATATTTTAGTCTTATGGTCAGAGAATTTTGATATTCCATTTTAACACTGAAGTAAAACGCAAAATTCAGGAACACAAAGAAGTTTCTTGGTCTTCAATTCTCTCAGAATATGTCTAATATAATCCCGACATCAGAGAGTGCCCAGTTTGGCTAATCTAGCTAATTATTCTGCTCCTTAACGATGGCATCCATGGCCGTGGCGATCTCCTGAATACGTGTGGATTAGTGGATTTGTGGCAGAGCTGGAGGTTGGCAGACCTTTGCTCCGTGATTCAGGATCTCCTCTTCAAAGGCAGCTCCAGCAGCACCTGCAGGATCATTACACAGGATAAACCCAGGATAAGTTGCTTAAAAGCGTGTAGCATAAGTCATGTTCGGGCGCAGACACTTGGAGAGCGAGCTAATGATAATGTGAGTTTAGCAGAGCAGCTGGGACATGTTTACAGGTGCCTTAAAGGGATTATGCCAACTGTGTTCAGCATCAGGGATTTAGACACGGCCCAAAAGTCCTGTTTCTCTCGAGTCTGAACGATAAATGTCTCACACAAAAGACATGGGTCAGTTTTACATCACATTGAAGATTGCCTCGTGTATTCTTGGTTAAAATGTTGCACGGCCGAGCTTTAAAGGTCCCATACTACACTTTTATCTAATCTCTGGTTTAAACATAATTACAGAGACATTTGCCCAGAGTAGTTTTTTAATTGATTCAAGCTTCAGTTACAGAGTGATCTTTCTCTTTCATTCTCCAGAGGCTCAAACACAAAATGATTCACTTTCACATATAGCTTGAGCTTCTGAAGCCCCGCCCCCAGAATCTGATTGACAGGAGAGAGAAACCAAAACAGCGAATCAGAGCCTTTCTCAGGGTATGGACCCGCTCCCAGTCTGTGGACAAAGAATGTACGAGTGTAGCTGGACTTTCTATCCACGGGATCTGCCTTCAAAATCTGACAAATCTGCGTTTGTGCGAGACACTTCTCCAAAGTTTGAATCTGGATTTACTCGAAGCTGATCTTGAAATGTGGAGAAGTCCGAGTGTCAAAGAGACGCCTGAACTTGTGTAAAACAAGTGTTATTTTGTACAAAGTAACAAACAGACCTGTTCTTTGGGTGTGTCTCCTCCTGATGAGGTTCACCTGGGAGTGTGGCTCCGCCCACAGAACACAAAATGGCTGACAAGGACACGCCTCTTCAACAGGTATAAAATACACAGGGGCCAAAGAATCCCACTCTGTCACAGGAACCCAGTGTTATCCCCACGATAAAGACAAAGAGCTCTGATCTGTGAGTACGGTGCTGCTAACTCTCAGTATTCTTCTGTGAACTTAAAGCTGCACTATCTGACTTTGGGAGTTTGAAGCCGCGGACTCGCTCTTCCTGCTCCCCTCCCCTCACCCACGAAGCTATCGCCCGCCCCCACACCCACTGTTGGGACGGAGCTAGCGTCTCCCAATATGGATAATACATGGACATGGATTTTCACGTGGATGGCGTGACCATAGAACGATAGAACCGGGAAGCGCGGAGGAACGGGACTTTCTTTTGGCTGTTTCGCTGAGTAAGCAGTAACCGGTGACGAAGACGAGGAAGCTTCAGGTTAGCTCCGCCGCTTGTTGTGCTAACTCAGCTGTCTGTGCTAACGGACCTGTAGATTTCTCACGAAAGTGGGGGCTAGTGGTCCGCTGTGATTGGTCACAATCTGGACCCGAAACACATTCTCTTCCTTGTTTCATCAAAACTCGATCTAAAATATAATGTCAGGCCAGCACAAATCTGCGCTACTTTTTCTTCAAAAGGACGTATATCCCAATGCACTACATGGACATGGATAGCACTTTCGTAATGAATACAAAAATAAAGTCAGTCAGTGCAGCTTTAATAATTATCTGAGTCTGTCTGACATCATTTACAATAGACAGTACAGAATACTTAGGGGCAACAGTAGCTCAGTTGGTAGAGCATTGGCCTTAAGGCCAGAAGGTCGTGGGTTCAATTCCCACCTCTGCACCTTCTCCACCGACTCCCACTGATGACTGCTGTCGTTGTGTCCTTGGGCAAGACACTTAACCCCACTTTGCCTGAAGCCCCCACTGAAAGATCAAGGCTATGCTCACACTCAGAGAGCAGCCGTCCTCCTGTGGACTCACCACCTGCAGAGGGTCAGTGAGGGGCTGGTGCTATGAGACTTGGGTGGCATCTCTGACTGCCACCCCCCTGACCCAGAAATGGATTAAAGGGTAGAAAATGGATGGATGGAACTATACTTGCACAGTGTGTGTATTATATATTCTTTCTAATATAAACTCTGGTCATATCTTGTACAATCTACACAAAACTAATCTTTTCTATCGTATGAGAAGAGTTACAAAAATAAATAGTGATTTCCATCGTCAGAATCTCACAAATCTCAAATCCAATAAAACACCAGCTCCCATTTGAAAAGTCACTTTTACTTTTGGAGCTTTACGTGTTGGACCCACTGTCAAATGAAACTATTCTCGTGCTCGTTATGGAAGCTGCCTCCCCCTCCCTCACCCCTCCCTCCCCCCCCCCCCCCCCCAACAGAACAACTCATCTCTCTGGCACCGCAAATGTTTTGAAAGCAGGTCGGCAAAGGTTACGCCAAGAAACGTGGAGCGCGGCAATGAAAAAGACAAAAAAAATCTTGCTTTTTAATTTTTTGATGAAGGTCTGATGTTATTATCTGGCCCAGATCCACGGGGCTCGTGCACGGGGCTCGTGCACGGGGCTCGTGCGGCGGATTGGACCTGACAGACGCTGCATTAACAACAATAAATATAGCAAAGGGCCGCGCCTCGGGCTCAGGGAGACCCCGGACTCTGACCCTGGGATTTAATGATGAAAACAAGCACACACTCCCTGCTCTGGGAGGCACACGCACACACAAACACACACTCCCTGCTCTGGGAGGCACACGCACACACAAACACACACACACTTCCTGACCTGGGAGGCATACACACACTCAGGCATACGCACACACACAGAAGGACAGACACAGAGAGAGAGAAACACACAGACACACATGGAGACACACACACACTTACACAGAGACACAGACACACACACTCAGATGTTTGCCACTTCTGTGCGTTCTTTGACTGTAGACTTTCATGTGTAAACCAGGCCTGACCATGGAGTCCTTGTGGGGACCCTCCTCCACAGGCTCCGAGGGGTCCAGGGTTCTCTGGGCAGGCCCCACAGCTGCACAAAGATGGATGCTACGAGATGGAAGACCCCTCACTCACTGTCTCTCCGATTATGACATACTATCCATACTGTGTGTGTCTCTATGTTTGTGTGTATGTGTCTATGTCTATGTGTGTGTGTGTGTGTCTTTGTGTGTTCCATGTGAAAATAAGAATCGCACACTTTGCTGTGACACATCGATAGAAAAACTCCTCGTTATGAAAATGAACATTTATTGAACTAGACTTTGAGACTTTTTAACCAAACATTTTTATTACAAGTAAAATATTTAAACAACAGCGTGTTTACAGTGAAATTAAAGTTTTTTGGCCTCTCCAAGAAACAGGCAGAACTACTACTACTACTACTACTACTACTACAACAAAACAGACTATGTGAAGTTTCTGCACAGATCGGGCGTGGAGTGAGGAAACGGGTCAGTTATTTTCTCTGGCACCAGTTTAGACCAGTTCAGACCAGTTCAGACCAGTTTAGACCAGTTTAGACCAGTTCAGACCAGTTCAGACCAGTTTAGACCAGTTTAGATCAGTTTAGATTCAAAGTGAGACCTTAAAGTGACGGAGCAGATGAAGAAGACTTAGGTTTTTTCATTAAGACAGAAAAAGTAAAGAATCTAGTTTTGGTTAATTACTACACTGCAAAAAGTGATAGAATGAGCTAATACTTGTTTTTGTCTGATTTTGAGAACATTCTTCAAACAAAAGAACAAGCCATTTAGTTTTTAATTTCAAGAACTGAAGCCTTTTTTTCTAGTTCCAATGAAGACATTTCTAGTTTATTTTCTAAAACAAGATCATTTTGCTGGTACCATTGACAAATCTTGTTCCAAGGCTTTTTGACAAATTTGAGCAGGTTTTGACTTGTTTTGAATCAGTTTTTGCAGTGTACATGTTTGAGCGTCAGCGAGTGGGATGATGATGTGACTCTGATCAGCTGTTGTTGCCGGATGCGGTCAGTATGACACAGATCAGAAGCATTTAGCATTTTACTTTGGACCAGAGCAAAGAAAATGGTTTGAACCAAGTTGCTGATTATTACTATTGCTAGCTTTTTAGAATGATCTATTTATCTATTTTTACATTTTTGCTGCTACTGGACCCCTGCATTTCTCCTACGGGGATGAAAAATGTATCTATCTCACAGATGCATCAGACCGACCCCGCCCCCTCAGACTGACCACGCCCCATCAGACTGACCACGCCCCATCAGACTGACTCCGCCCCCGCAGACTGACCACGCCCCCTCAGACTGACTCCGCCCCCTCAGACTGACCACGCCCCATCAGACTGACCACGGCCATCAGACTGACCACGCCCCCTCCGACTGACTCCGCCCCCTCAGACTGACCACGTCCCTAATAATGAACACGGCCATCAGACTGACCATGCCCCCTCAGACTGACCACGCACCATCAGACTGACCACGCCCCCTCAGACTGACCACGCACCATCAGACTGACCACGCCCCTCAGACTGACTCCGCCCCCTCAGACTGACCACGCCCCTAATAATGAACACGGCCATCAGACTGACCACGCCCCCTCAGACTGACCACGCCTCCTCAGACTGACCACGCCTCCTCAGACTGACTCCGCCCCCTCAGACTGACCACGCCCCTAAAAATGAACACGGCCATCAGACTGACCCCGCCCCCTCAGACTGACTACGCCCCCCTGTGGTCTCTGGAGAAGTGAGTCCCGAGTGTGAGCCAAGGTGAAGGCCCCCTCGTCTCCGTTGACGGTCCCTGCATCACGCTTCTTAACTTCAATCGCCCTCGTTTCGTGGTCAGTCTGACGCATCTGTGAGATCTGTGTCCGACTGACCACACCCGGCAACAGCAGCTGATCAGAGACACACAATCACCATCACTGTCTCTGACCAACGCTGAAGTCTACCAAAAACATGTGGTAATTAAGCAGTACTAGCTTCTTTACTTTTTATATCGTATTAAAAGAACCCTCTAAGGCTTAAACATGAGAACACAAAATGCACTGTATACATTTAGCAGAAGAAGATTTGAGATTCTCGCCCATTGTTCTCGTCTCGGCACATTTACAGTCTTCCAGGTGCACAGCGGCAGCCACAAACGCACTCCCACACGCTGTGCTTTTGCCGCCGTCTCGTAAGAAGGCTACAGCTTCCCGTTGGCGAAGGCTCCCTCTTGGAACTGCGGGATGAAGCTCTTGAAGTAGGCTCTGAGAGACACACACAGGAGACACATACAGCACACGCAACATGTGACAATAACTCAGCTTCAAAGCAGAAAACAAACTCTCTGGGTCAGTGCTCAGCCTCAGCATGTGGTAAAGAGGAGATGAAAGAAAAGCCGTTTACGACAATAGTTTGTAAATCACCGGCACCCGCAACAGCTATGTGGGAATCAGAGGAAGATTTCACAGTTCTAAGTATAATGTAAATTATAAATGCACACAAAAGCATTTGGATATCAAAGGGGAATGTGCAGCTTGGCTCGGGGAAACACACAAAGCACCAGAGCACATGTCAAACTGATCATTTTAATCAGCAATTTATGAATGTGGCTCGTGCCAAGAACAAACAGGGGTCTTTAGATTGGGTCGTGTCCCGGTGTGTGCGAAGGGTGTGTGCGAAGGGTGTGTGCGAAGGGTGTGTGCGAAGGGTGTGTGCGAAGGGTGCGTGCGAAGGGTGTGTGCGAGGGTGTGTGCGAAGGGTGGTGCGCAAGGGTGCGTGCGAAGGGTGTGTGCGAAGGGTGTGTGCGAAGGTGTGTGCGAAGGTGTGTGCGAAGGGTGTGTGCGAAGGGTGTGTGCGAAGGTGTGTGGTGCGAAGGGTGTGTGCGAAGGGTGTGTGCGAAGGGTGTGCGTGCGAAGGGTGTGTGCGAAGGTGTGTGCAAGGGTGGTGCGAAGGGTGTGTGCGAAGGGTGTGTGCGAAGGGTGTGTGCGAAGGGTGTGTTGAAGGGTGTGTGCGAAGGGTGTGTGCGAAGGGTGTGTGCGAAGGGTGTGTGCGAAGGGTGTGTGCGAAGGGTGTGTGCGAAGGGTGTGTGCGAAGGGTGTGTGCGAAGGGTGTGTGCGAAGGGTGTGTGCGAAGGGTGTGTGCGAAGGGTGTGTGTGAAGGGTGTGTGCGAAGGCTACTGCAAAATATGATCAAAAATGAGGTAGAAAACGCTTGAATTGAGAGGTTTTTATATTAATCAGAGTTCATTCTAACCTGCCCTGGTCTTATCCATCTGTACTCTCAGGTCATCATCATGTCCTGCAGGTAACGTCTGGGTCTGGTCTCTGTGGTTGTGATTACAATCGTTTAAATTACATCCGACCAATCAGAGAGCGCGGGAGGCGGGTGTTATAGTTAGATGTGGGTGACGTCAAGAGTTTGCGTCGAACGGGCAGGTTGTAGTTTGGTGAAGAATGTGATAGTAAAATATTCTGGTCTGGTTCTATCAAGAAACTGAAGCCGGAGCAAGAGGAATGTTTAGCAAATGTAATAGATGGCTAAAGCTAGGCTAAATGCTAACGACGCACTCGGGCTCATTACAAACGTCACAGTAAACTCAGATCCAATGGTTTCAATCTGTAAAAGGAGTTAGCCCCTCCCACCTGTTCACGGAGTCAATGGAGCAAATCCAGACCTTAGTACGAAATGAAACTAGTACTATGGTGTGGTGCGACCAGGGTAGTTCTGACTCAGTTCAAACCAGATTCTCCAATGGGACAAAGACATTATCCCTCATTCCAAGGGAGACATTTCTGTATCTTTTTAAAACAAGTTCATTTGTTCACAGCTGGAACAGTTTATTATAACGCCGTCATTGCCGTTTTCCACAATTTCTGCTTTTAACCCATTTATACCTCTGTAGTTTGGCCTGTCCTGTCTGTAAACATCAACCTGGGGCTACAGATGGAAGTTAGCCACGTCGCTAACGCTGGCGTATTTACATGTGGACCCTAAGGACTCCGGGTTATTCATGTGCACTGTCTCATCTTTAATAAATAAATGAATACATACATTTTGCTTTGTCCTGTTGGAAAAGCTTGTTTTAAAGCTCAGTCAATTTGAGATTTTTTTAATGCATTTTTCATCCCCTTTAGCAGTGTCATCACCCTGGTTGTTCCGGTTCACTTTTCAGATTTATACAAACACACACTGGTCCTTTTGTTTAAACTGTTTGATCTCTATCCATCCATTTCTTACTACGTACTATTGTTAGCTACTTTTAGAATTATATATTTTTTGTTTTTGTTTGTTTGAACGGATGTGTTTCTGCTGCGACTGGACACCTGCATTTCTCCAACAGGGATCAATAAAGTACTGTATCTATCTATCTACAGTATATCTATGTATCTATCTACTGTATCTATCTATCTACTGTATCTATCTATCTACTGTATCTATCTACTGTATCTATCTATCTACAGTATATCTATCTATCTACTGTATCTATCTATCTACTGTATCTATCTACTGTATCTATCTATCTACTGTATATCTATCTATCTATCTACTGTATCTATCTATCTACTGTATATATCTATCTACTGTATCTACTGTATCTATCTATCTACAGTATCTATCCATCTATCTGCTGTATCTACTGTATCTATCTATCTACAGTATCTATATCTACTGTATCTATCTATCTACAGTATCTATATCTACTGTATCTATCTATCTATCTACTGTATCTATCTACAGTATATCTATCTATCTATCTACTGTATCTATCTACAGTATATCTATCTATCTATCTACTGTATCTATCTACTGTATCTATCTATCTACTGTATCTATCTATCTACTGTATCTATCTACAGTATATCTATCCACAGTATCTATCTATCTACAGTATCTATCTATCTCTCTATCTACAGTATCTATCTATCTACTGTATCTATCTCTATCCACTGTATCTATCTATCTATCCACTGTATCTATCTATCTACTGTATCTATCTCTCTATCTACTGTATCTATCTCTCTATCCACTGTATCTATCTATCTACTGTATCTATCTCTCTATCTACTGTATCTATCTCTCTATCTACTGTATCTATCTCTCTATCCACTGTATCTATCTATCTACTGTATCTATCTCTCTATCTACTGTATCTATCTCTCTATCTACTGTATCTATCTATCTACAGTAAACACGTAGATAGTTAAATACCCTATAACTCGCCTCAGTCACTCACACAGTCATAAGAACTGCACTTACTTTGCTCTTTTGGCCATCTCGTTGCCGTCCCAGCGAGGGCTGTAGGGATAAGACTTCTGCACCTGGGAGTAGATCTGACCGCTGTTGGTGAAGTGATAAACCGACTGGAAGGTGAGGGTGGGCTGGTCCCGGGGGAAGTACAACGGCAAATCCACTGCCAAACCAAACAGCATTCAAGTCACAAGTCAAATTGTAACGTAAAATGGTGAAATGGGAATAACACTGACCATGCACTAAGAAACAGAACTCCTTCCACATGAGCAACAAGGTCAGTTTGGTGAATCCCTCAGCGTCGTACTCTACAACACCGCTGCAACACAATACGTTTCTGGTAAGTGTCAAAATCAAAGGAGAGAAATAAGTGGAAAGATAATAAGTGGATGTACTGACGTTCCAAAGTGGCTCAGGAAGGCGGCGATGTACTCCCTGCGTTTATGATAACCTTGGATCACATACTGCACCTGCACAAAACACAGAGGACACTTTTCAACACACAAATTATGACTGTGTACAAACCAGTGTGGGCGGGTCCCGGCTGACAGGCTGCAGTACCACCCCGGGCCTGTGGGGGGGGACAAGGTGTAAGAATTAGACAATGCTAATGTTTAGCATCTGATTATCTCTGGAGAACGGGGTTATAGGGTGGTCCAAAAGAGGGTCTTGGTCCAAAGCTTTGTTCCAGATGCTGACGATGTCGAGGGGAGTGTTGTTTTAGACCAATCTAGTTTAGCCGCTGTGGACTATAAAAGGCTACTAAGGCTCAGTTTCCCTGGAGGCTGGATGTTTGGTTTGGTGGAGAGGGAGGGGAGGGGGGAGTGGTTTGGTGGAGAGGGAGGGGAGGGGGGAGTGGTTTGGTGGAGAGAGAGGGGAGGGGGGAGTGGTTTGGTGGAGAGGGAGGGGAGGGGGGAGTGGTTTGGTGGAGAGGGAGGGGAGGGGGGAGTGGTTTGGTGGAGAGGGGAGGGGGGAGTGGTTTGGTGGAGAGGGGAGGGGGGAGTGGTTTCCAGTTGGTGCTACGGCTAAGCTAACAAAATGGCTTACTGCACCTTTAAGTGCAGTGTTAGCAGTAGAGAGGAATCTGATTGGCCACCAGCCAGCTGTGAGTAACTTTACTTTACTGTGCCAAGCAACACACCTGAGTCACCTGATGAGTCACCTGATGAGTCAACTTAAAATAATTAACTCATCAAACTTCAAGAGGCAATTATTTACAAATGAAATAAATAATATTTATTTATATAGCACCTTTCACAGACCAGAGTTTAAAATGGTTGTGACCAAAAGTCTCTCACTCCATACAGAGATGAAGGCACATGCCAGACCTATTGTACAGGTTTTTAGTGGTAGGGGAAACCGGAGCACCTGGAGGAAACCTACACAGACACAAGGAGAACATGCAAACTCCACTCAGAAAGCTAGAACCTCCACTAGTAGAGGCTCAGAGAATGAACAAAACCATTGAAATCACCAACACAGATCAGAGAATCAACAGAGAAGACACAGAAAGAATATAGAACACATGGTATTGGACCATAGGGAGACACCAATGTCCATTAATGTTGATGGTCCATACATGTTGTAGAATGTTTAAGTGTCCTGGATCATCACAGTCCTTCTAACACTGTGAGCTTCTATAGCGATAACACCAGAGGCCGTCAGTGAGGTCGATGTCCCGCCCTCCACCGTTTCACCAATCAGAAAGTCTGTGATCCGGGCGCCAGAACTCACCGCGTGGAGCTAATCTCACTGGTAAAGTACCATGTGGCGCAGAACTAAAAAAAGGTCTCGTTATGATTCTCAAATCATTAACGACAAAACAAGGAATAAAACCAGGATTTCTATCTTTGTGAAAAAGGTGTTGGTTATAGATTTGTTGTTGACAAAACTCTTGTCTATTCGGCTGTTATGGTCCCAGCTGGATTCGTCTGCATATCTGGCAACCTGAGTCAGGGAGAGTGGGAGAGGCTGCAGTACCACCTTTGGCCACACGTTTACACACTGCTCCTTTAAGATCCAGACAGACTTATTGTATTGTAATTCTTCTGTATTTTATCTTCTGTAAAGTAAGTGTTGGAATGCATCTGGTTCGTCCATATTAAACAAACAAAAAAAGCCAAAGAATGTAAACTAAAAGCTCCCCACCCCCGCTACCTGGAGGCGGGGGTGACGCAGACGGATGATGTCGCTCGGCAGGTATTCGGAGGTGCCCACGCCCAGGCTGCTCTGTGTACTCTTTGTGTACTCTTTGTGTAGCGCTGTCTGAACATGTGCCGTGGACCCATGATGCAACACCACCGGAAGCATTCTCAAGACATACAAATACAAGGTGGAGCGCCGGGGTCAAAGTCTAGGGAATGAAAATCTCACCAACTGCAAAAGGAGTTAACCCCTCCCACCTGTAAACGGAGCTGAGATGAGTACCATGGTGTGGTAAGACCAGGCTAGGATTAGTCCAATCATTTCATTTTGTTTAGAAAATAGAACAAGAGTGAGGTTGACGCGCACATCCAGATCTGAGTAGCGTGCAGAAAGTAGAAAATAGTCAAATTAAAAACTGGGGATGACAGAACTAGCCTTCATCAGACATATTTATTTTAGAAAGACCAGAGCAAAGTGACAGACGGAGAAGTGAAATCAAAACTATGCAGGATTTTGGTATTTTCAAAACAATAAAATACTAAAAAGTCTAATGAAGATCGGGTCTCGTTATTATCCGATGTATTTTGTTCAGTAAATGAGGGCAGATTCAGGCAGACACCAGGCGGACACCAGGTGGACACCAGGTGGACACCAGGTGGACACCAGGTGTGCAGTCCCAGTCTGTCACAGCTAAAGTATGTGCAGCTTTACATTGTGTCATTGAACATGGAGCATCTGGAATGAGTGGGTGTTAGTGACTGCACAGGCGGGTGTTTAAACTGACGTTTAGATGAGTAAGAGCCTTAGTAAAGATGTAGCCTGGTCGTACCACACCATGGTACTAGTTTCATTTGGGACTAAGGTCTGGATTTGCTCCATTGACTCCGTGAACAGGTGGGAGGGGCTAACTCCTTTTGCAGATTGAAACCATTGGATCTGAGTTTACTGTGATGAATGTAATGAGCCCGAGTGAGTGAGGCATGTAGCATTTAGCCTAGCTTTAGCATGTAGCCTAGCTTTAGCATTTAGCCTAGCATTAGCATGTAGCCTAGCTTTAGCCATCTCCTTTGCTGCTAACGGAGCCCGTGGGGAGTAGAGTCACAACATATTTGCTTCAATGACATTTACTAAACATTCTTCTTGCTCCGGCTTCAGTTTCTTGATATTTGGATTGAACCAGAACAGATTATTTTACTATCGCAAACATAAATATTATGGACATCATACTATTTTACATTTATAATAATATTAATAACGGATCAGTTTTAGACAGCTCTTTTCAGGACTCTCAGTCTCTTCACATCATAATCCTTTCCCTCCAAACACACTGGTGATAAACTACTGTAGCCACAGCTGCCCTGGGGCACACTGACAGAAGCGAGGCAACCAGTCTGTGCCATCGGCCCCTCCCACCACCACCAACCATTCACACACACACCAGACTCATTCTAGGCAAAGTGGGTGATGCCTGAGCCGCCCCACTGTGGCACATGGTGTTCCCAGAGGTCTCCCATCACAGCACTAACCAGGCCCTGCCCTGCTTAGCTGCAGAGGTCTGGCTGTTGTATGCAAGAATGACTCCTGTGTAACATTTTCTGTGAAATGGTTTGTCAAATATGATTCGTAGACGTTTTATCTGGGGTCACATAGAAATCTCAAACGAAAACATGACTTTCCTTTTAAATACTTTAAATTTGGGAAAAAATACTTTCAATCATGGAAGAATCTTCTGGAATCGAATGATTTGGTTTAAAACCAACAACAAAATATGAGGTAATAAATGATTGAATCAAGTGTTTTTATCTTAATCTGAGACGTTCTGTTAAAACAGGATTTGGTCATTTAGTCTTTTCTTGTATCTTTAGAACCAAATATCTTTTTGCTTTGTCTCAATGGCAAATGTTGTTTTAAGACAGACAAAAAGTGCTCAAAACGAGATAAATTTAACACATTTTGAGTCATTTTTGTTATATTTTTCATCACTTTTTTGCAGTGTATTTTCTACTCTAATTTCTTTAAAAATATATTATTATTATTGCATTTTAAGAATAATTTTTACCTCCAGTCCCTCCGACAATATTCCAAAATACATTTATAACAAAAAACGGAAACAAGAGAGAGAGACAAAAATTAAAATTAAAAAGTTGTGATAATAAAATAGAAATATAAAATATATATATTTTTTCTAATAATATTATAATGTTTATAATAATATAAACATTATTGTTCAAAGTGGGCCATATGAGGACAACATTAGCTCGTCCTTAGCATCCAGGAGAGAGGGCTGCGAGGGGAGACGGGGGCGGTCAGTCTGCATTAGACGTGGGTGAGGCGAGCGAGAGGCTGAGGGGGGGGGGGAGGGGGGGGGGCGTCTCTCTCCCTCCGAGCGAAAGGGCATCTGGTCGTGTCTCCTCTGCTGCATATCCACCTGTGGAAGCCGGAGAGCTGCAGATGGACTCTGGAGCTGCGCCAGGCATACTGCATCACTGAACACGTTAGCGTAACTGCTAATGTTGGCATCAATGCACACGTTAGCGTCGCTACACACGTTAGCGTCACTGCTAATGTTGGCATCGCTGCGCACGTTAGCGTCGCTGCGCACGTTAGCGTCGCTGCGCACGTTAGCGTCGCTGCGCACGTTAGCGTCGCTGCGCACGTTAGCATCAGCGCACACGTTAGCATCAGCGCACACGTTAGCATCAGCGCACACGTTAGCATCAGCGCACACGTTAGCATCAGCGCACACGTTAGCATCAGCGCACACGTTAGCATCAGCGCACACGTTAGCATCAGCGCACACGTTAGCATCAGCGCACACGTTAGCATCAGCGCACACGTTAGCATCAGCGCACACGTTAGCATCAGCGCACACGTTAGCATCAGCGCACACGTTAGCATCAGCGCACACGTTAGCATCGCTACACACGTTAGCATCGCTACACACGTTAGCATCGCTACACACGTTAGCATCGCTACACACGTTAGCATCGCTACACACGTTAGCATCATATATATTCAAGATGGCGCCTCGTACGGTCGACATGGCTCTTTGCTGCTCTCTTTTTCTTTTGTTTTTACTTTTTAACTGTGCATCTGGCTGTTCCTACACCCGTGAGGAACTTATGAACATCCGACCCACCGTTCCCATGGACCTATTGCCTGTTTTCTTGGCATCTGCGGCTGATTTAGTTCATGTTCTAGCCAAAAAAGTGTGGGCCCGTAAAAGGGGAAAGCGAGGAGGCCTGCTCGTGCGTCTTAGGAGGAGAGGAGCGCGCACGGCTCTCCCCGGCATTTTTCTCTCCAACGTACGCTCACTGGGCAATAAGATGGACGAACTCAGCCTGCTCATGAGAAGAAACAAGGACTTCGCCACATCCTGTGTCCTCTGCTTCACTGAGACCTGGCTAAATGAGCGGATCCCGGACTGCGCTCTGGAGCTGCAGGGCTTTGGGCTGTTTCGCGCGGATCGCCATTGTGCGCTCTCAGGGAAGAGCAGAGGCGGAGGGCTCTGTTTCTACGTCAATACAAACTGGTGTAACGATGTGACAGTGATCTCCAAGCACTGCTCTCCTGCTCTGGAATATCTTTTCATTCATTGTAAACCATATTACTCCCCGCGGGAAATTGTTTCATTCATTCTTGCCTCTGTTTACATACCGCCATGCGCGGACGCGCGCGAGGCTCAGCGCGCACTCGCAGAGAGCAAGTACTGTGTATGGAACGCTTATACCCGGACTCTCTGATTATTATCCTGGGGGATTTTAATAAGGGAAACTTGAGCCAGGAATTACCCAAATACAGACAGTTTATCAAATGCCCGACCAGAGAGGAGAACACTCTGGATCACTGTTACACCACCGTGCGCGGAGCTTTTCGCGCTGTTCCCAAGCCAGCCCTCGGCTTCTCAGATCACTCCATGATACATCTGGTTCCTGCTTACAGACAGAGACTAAAGCTCTCGAAACCTGCAGTGAGGAGCTCCAAAGTGTGGTCTGATGAAGCTGTGGAAGAGCTGCGCGCATGCATGGAATCTACAGACTGGGACCTTTTCAGAGCTGCCACAGACAGCTTGGATGAATATACGGACACTGTGACGTCATACATCCACTTCTGTGAGGATAGCATCATTCCAACAAGGACCAGGGTCATCTATAACAACGACAAACCCTGGTTCACTGCTAAACTCCGGCAGCTCAGGAAAGCAAAGGAGTCTGCTTTCAGGGAGGGGGACCGCAGCGGCTACAAAGCAGCTAAATATCAGTTCAGGAAAGAACTGAAAGCAGCCAAGTCCCGGCACAGAGAACGACTACAGGAGCAGTTTGGTAACAACGATACTGCTTCTGTCTGGAGGGGCCTACGGGAGATCACCAACTACAAACCCAAAGCCCCCCCCTGTGCTGATGACCACAAGCTAGCTGACGATCTGAACTTATTTTTCAGTCGCTTTGATGCTGCCCCTGACACCTCTCCCTCCCCCACCCCCCACTACTCTAACTACTCTAACGACCCACCCATCAGCCCTGCCCCCAGCCTAACAATAGCCGCTAAAGAGATTAAACAACTCTTCCTGAGGCTGCACCCCCGCAAAGCTCCTGGCCCGGACCACGTGTCTCCGGCCACTCTGAGACACTGCGCCAGTGAGCTTACTCCTGTGTTCACGGACATTTTCAACTCCTCTCTGCAGTCCTGCCATGTCCCGGCCTGCTTCAAATCCTCCATCATTGTCCCCGTCCCGAAGAAGCCCAGGATCACAGGACTCAATGACTACAGACCTGTAGCACTTACGTCTGTCGTCATGAAGTCATTTGAACGCCTGGTTCTCTCCCATCTCAAGTCCCTCACCTCCCCCCTCCTGGACCCCCTGCAGTTCGCCTACAGAGCCAACAGATCTGTAGACGACGCCATTAACCTGGCCCTCCACCACATCCTACAGCACCTGGACTCCCCGGGGACCTACGCCAGGGTCCTGTTCGTGGACTTCAGCTCTGCCTTCAACACAATCCTGCCATCCCTGCTCCAGGACAAGCTCTCCCAGCTCAACGTGCCCGATTCCACCTGCAGGTGGATCACTGACTTCCTGACGGACAGGAAGCAGCGAGTGCGTCTGGGGAAGAATGTCTCGGACCCTTGGATTATAAATACAGGAGCCCCACAGGGCTGTGTTCTTTCTCCCCTGCTCTTCTCCCTGTACACCAACCACTGCACCTCCAGCCACGACTCCGTGAAGCTGATCAAGTTCGCGGACGACACCACCCTCATTGGACTCATCTCCAACAACGATGAGTCCGCCTACAGGAGGGAGGTGGACCGGCTGGTGTCCTGGTGCAGTGGTAACAACCTGGAGCTGAACGCCCAGAAGACAGTGGAGATGATTGTGGACTTCAGGAAGAGCACTGTCCCCCCGCCCCCACCCTCCGTGATGGACTCCCCCATCACCTCTGTGGAGTCCTTCCGTTTCCTGGGCACCACCATCACCCAGGACCTCAAGTGGGAGCCGACCATCAGCTCCCTCATCAAGAAGGCCCAGCAGAGGATGTACTTCCTGCGGCAGCTCAGGAAAGCCAAGCTGCCTGCACAGATGTTGGTGCAGTTCTACACGGCCATCATCGAGTCCATCCTCACCTCCTCCATCACCTCCTCCATCACCTCCTCCATCACCTCCTCCATCACCTCCTCCATCACCGTGTGGTTCGCTGGAGCCACAGTCAGGGACAAACAGAGACTACAGCGCATTGTGCGCTCTGCAGAGGAAGTGATCGGCCGCAGCCTTCCATCGCTGCAGGACCTGTACGTCGCCCGAGCTCGAGGCCGGGCTGGTCGTATCACAGCCGACCCCTCTCACCCTGCACATGGACTATTCCAACCACTCCCCTCAGGCAGGAGGCTGCGGTCCATCAGGACTAGAACCTCCCGCCACAAGAACAGTTTCTTCCCCTCTGCTGTTGGACTCTTGAACACTTCTTAACCTGTCCCCCCGCCCTTTATAAAGTCACTTTACTGCCCATCATACGTCACTTTACTTCACTGTACTGCTGTCACCTTACATTGTGTGCACCATGTGCACTTGTATATTGTAAATAGTAACTGTAACTCTATTTTAAATTTAAATTTATTCTTTAGAAGTGTTTTTTATTCTTATTTTTATTATCTCTTTTTGACTGTTGCACTGAGCCAAAGCAATTTCCAAGTCTGTGACCTCCCGTTACTTACGTTGGCAATAAAAATGATTCTGATTCTGATTCTGATTCTGATCGCTACACACGTTAGCATCGCTACACACGTTAGCATCGCTACACACGTTAGCATCGCTACACACGTTAGCATCGCTACACACGTTAGCATCGCTACACACGTTGCAGCTTAGCATCGCTACACACGTTAGCATCGCTACACACGTTAGCATCGCTACACACGTTAGCATCGCTACACACGTTAGCATCGCTACACACGTTAGCATCGCTACACACGTTAGCATCGCTACACACGTTAGCATCGCTACACACGTTAGCATCGCTACACACGTTAGCATCGCTACACACGTTAGCATCGCTACACACGTTAGCATCGCTACACACGTTAGCATCGCTACACACGTTAGCATCGCTACACACGTTAGCATCGCTACACCGTGCACACACGTTAGCATCGCTACACACGTTAGCATCGCTACACACGTTAGCATCGCTACACACGTTAGCATCGCTACACACGTTAGCATCGCTACACACGTTAGCATCGCTACACACGTTAGCATCGCTACACACGTTAGCATCGCTACACACGTTAGCATCGCTACACACGTTAGCATCGCTACACACGTTAGCATCGCTACACACGTTAGCATCGCTACACACGTTAGCATCGCTACACACGTTAGCATCGCTACACACGTTAGCATCGCTACACACGTTAGCATCGCTACACACGTTAGCATCGCTACACACGTTAGCATCGCTACACACGTTAGCATCGCTACACACGTTAGCATCGTACACGCTACACACGTTAGCATCGCTACACACGTTAGCATCGCTACACACGTTAGCATCGCTACACACGTTAGCATCGCTACACACGTTAGCATCGCTACACACGTTAGCATCGCTACACACGTTAGCATCGCAGCACTACACACGTTAGCATCGCTACACACGTTAGCATCGCTACACACGTTAGCATCGCTACACACGTTAGCATCGCTACACACGTTAGCATCGCTACACACGTTAGCATCGCTACACACGTTAGCATCGCTACACACGTTAGCATCGCTACACACGTTAGCATCGCTACACACGTTAGCATCGCTACACACGTTAGCATCGCTACACACGTTAGCATCGCTACACACGTTAGCATCGCTACACACGTTAGCATCGCTACACACGTTAGCATCGCTACACACGTTAGCATCGCGCTACACACGTTAGCATCGCTACACACGTTAGCATCGCTACACACGTTAGCATCGCTACACACGTTAGCATCGCTACACACGTTAGCATCGCTACACACGTTAGCATCGCTACACACGTTAGCATCGCTACACACGTTAGCATCGCTACACACGTTAGCATCGCTAACACACGTTAGCATCGCTACACACGTTAGCATCGCTACACACGTTAGCATCGCACACACGTTAGCATCGCTACACACGTTAGCATCGCACACGTTAGCATCAACGTTAGCATACACACGTTAGCATGCGCAACACGTTAGCATCGCTACACACGTTAGCATCGCTACACACGTTAGCATCGCTACACACGTTAGCATCGCTACACACGTTAGCATCGCTACACACGTTAGCATCGCTAGCACACGTTAGCATCGCTACACACGTTAGCATCGCTCACACGTTAGCATCGCCACACGTTAGCATCGCTACACACGTTAGCATCGCTACACACGTTAGCATCGCTACACACGTTAGCATCGTACCACGTTAGCATCGCTACACACGTTAGCATCGCTACACACGTTAGCATCGCTACACACGTTAGCATCGCTACACACGTAGCATCGCTACACACGTTAGCATCGCTACACACGTTAGCATCGCTACACACGTTAGCATCGCACACACACGTTAGCATCGCTACACACGTTAGCATCGCTACACACGTTAGCATCGCTACACACGTTAGCATCGTCACTAGCATCGCACACACGTTAGCATCGCTACACACGTTAGCATCGCGCTACATCGCTAACACGTTAGCATCGCTACACACGTTAGCATCGCTACACACGTTAGCACAGCTACACACGTTAGCATCGCTACACACGTTAGCATCGCTACACACGTTAGCATCGCTACACACGTTAGCATCGCTACACACGTTAGCATCGCTACACACGTTAGCATCGCTACACACGTTAGCATCGCTACACACGTTAGCATCGCTACACACGTTAGCATCGCTACACACGTTAGCATCGTTAGCATCGCTACACACGTTAGCATCGCTACACACGTTAGCATCGCTACACACGTTAGCATCGCTACACACGTTAGCATCGCTACACACGTTAGCATCACTACACACGTTAGCATCGCTACACACGTTAGCATCGCTACACACGTTAGCATCGCTACACACGTTAGCATCGCTGCACACGTTAGCATCACTACACACGTTAGCATCGCCTTAAACACATCGCGACCGAACCAGTCCGTGCCCGTGGACCGTTACCTTGTTGGTGAGTAACTGGCAGACTCTGGGGACGTAGTCGATCAGACACCCTCCTGCAGCGAAGGACGGGATGTGCAGAGCAGAGGATCCTCCGAGAGCACTGAACACAGAGACAAGAGAGCACTGAACACAGAGACAAGAGAGCACTGAACACAGAGACAAGAGAGCACTGAACACAGAGACCAGAGAGCACTGAACACAGAGACAAGAGAGCACTGAACACAGAGACAAGAGAGCACTGAACACAGAGACAAGAGAGCACTGAACACAGAGACCAGAGAGCACTGAACACAGAGACAAGAGAGCACTGAACACAGAGACAAGAGAGCACTGAACACAGAGACCAGAGAGCACTGAACACAGAGACAAGAGAGCACTGAACACAGAGACAAGAGAGCACTGAACACAGAGACCAGAGAGCACTGAACACAGAGACCAGAGAGCACTGAACACAGAGACAAGAGAGCACTGAACACAGAGACAAGAGAGCACTGAACACAGAGACAAGAGAGCACTGAACACAGAGACCAGAGAGCACTGAACACAGAAACCAGAGAGCACTGAACACAGAGACAAGAGAGCACTGAACACAGAGACCAGAGAGCACTGAACACAGAGACAAGAGAGCACTGAACACAGAGACCAGAGAGCACTGAACACAGAAACCAGAGAGCACTGAACACAGAGACAAGAGAGCACTGAACACAGAGACAAGAGAGCACTGAACACAGAGACAAGAGAGCACTGAACACAGAGACAAGAGAGCACTGAACACAGAGACCAGAGAGCACTGAACACAGAGACCAGAGAGCACTGAACACAGAGACAAGAGAGAGAGCACTGAACACAGAGACCAGAGAGCACTGAACACAGAGACAAGAGAGAGAGCACTGAACACAGAGACAAGGAGAGAGCACTGAACACAGAGACAAGAGAGCACTGAACACAGAGACAAGAGAGCACTGAACACAGAGACCAGAGAGCACTGAACACAGAGACAAGAGAGCACTGAACACAGAGACCAGAGAGCACTGAACACAGAGACCAGAGAGCACTGAACACAGAGACCAGAGAGCACTGAACACAGAGACAAGAGAGCACTGAACACAGAGACCAGAGAGCACTGAACACAGAGACAAGAGAGCACTGAACACAGAGACCAGAGAGCACTGAACACAGAGACAAGAGAGCACTGAACACAGAGACCAGAGAGCACTGAACACAGAGACAAGAGAGCACTGAACACAGAGACAAGAGAGCACTGAACACAGAGACCAGAGAGCACTGAACACAGAGACCAGAGAGCACTGAACACAGAGACCAGAGAGCACTGAACACAGAGACCAGAGAGCACTGAACACAGAGACCAGAGAGCACTGAACACAGAGAACAAGAGAGCACTGAACACAGAGACAAGAGAGCACTGAACACAGAGACAAGAGAGCACTGAACACAGAGACAAGAGAGCACTGAACACAGAGACAAGAGAGCACTGAACACAGAGACCAGAGAGCACTGAACACAGAGACCAGAGAGCACTGAACACAGAGACCAGAGAGCACTGAACACAGAGACAAGAGAGCACTGAACACAGAGACCAGAGAGCACTGAACACAGAGACAAGAGAGCACTGAACACAGAGACAAGAGAGAGAGCACTGAACACAGAGACAAGAGAGCACTGAACACAGAGACCAGAGAGCACTGAACACAGAGACCAGAGAGCACTGAACACAGAGACAAGAGAGCACTGAACACAGAGACCAGAGAGCACTGAACACAGAGACCAGAGAGCACTGAACACAGAGACAAGAGAGCACTGAACACAGAGACAAGAGAGCACTGAACACAGAGACAAGAGAGCACTGAACACAGAGACCAGAGAGCACTGAACACAGAGACAAGAGAGCACTGAACACAGAGACCAGAGAGCACTGAACACAGAGACAAGAGAGCACTGAACACAGAGACCAGAGAGCACTGAACACAGAGACAAGAGAGCACTGAACACAGAGACCAGAGAGCACTGAACACAGAGACCAGAGAGCACTGAACACAGAGACAAGAGAGCACTGAACACAGAGACAAGAGAGCACTGAACACAGAGACAAGAGAGCACTGAACACAGAGACCAGAGAGCACTGAACACAGAAACACCAGAGAGCACTGAACACAGAGACACAGAGAGAGAGCACTGAACACAGAGACCAGAGAGCACTGAACACAGAGACAAGAGAGCACTGAACACAGAGACCAGAGAGCACTGAACACAGAAACCAGAGAGCACTGAACACAGAGACAAGAGAGCACTGAACACAGAGACAAGAGAGCACTGAACACAGAGACAAGAGAGCACTGAACACAGAGACAAGAGAGCACTGAACACAGAGACCAGAGAGCACTGAACACAGAGACCAGAGAGCACTGAACACAGAGACAAGAGAGAGAGCACTGAACACAGAGACCAGAGAGCACTGAACACAGAGACAAGAGAGAGAGCACTGAACACAGAGACAAGAGAGAGAGCACTGAACACAGAGACAAGAGAGCACTGAACACAGAGACAAGAGAGCACTGAACACAGAGACCAGAGAGCACTGAACACAGAGACAAGAGAGCACTGAACACAGAGACCAGAGAGCACTGAACACAGAGACAAGAGAGCACTGAACACAGAGACCAGAGAGCACTGAACACAGAGACCAGAGAGCACTGAACACAGAGACCAGAGAGCACTGAACACAGAGACCAGAGAGCACTGAACACAGAGACCAGAGAGCACTGAACACAGAGACCAGAGAGCACTGAACACAGAGACCAGAGAGCACTGAACACAGAGACAAGAGAGCACTGAACACAGAGACAAGAGAGCACTGAACACAGAGACCAGAGAGCACTGAACACAGAGACCAGAGAGCACTGAACACAGAGACAAGAGAGCACTGAACACAGAGACAAGAGAGCACTGAACACAGAGACCAGAGAGCACTGAACACAGAGACCAGAGAGCACTGAACACAGAGACAAGAGAGCACTGAACACAGAGACCAGAGAGCACTGAACACAGAGACCAGAGAGCACTGAACACAGAGACCAGAGAGCACTGAACACAGAGACCAGAGAGCACTGAACACAGAGACCAGAGAGCACTGAACACAGAGACCAGAGAGCACTGAACACAGAGACCAGAGAGCACTGAACACAGAGACCAGAGAGCACTGAACACAGAGACCAGAGAACACAGAGACCAGAGAGCACTGAACACAGAGACCAGAGAGCACTGAACACAGAGACCAGAGAGCACTGAACACAGAGACCAGAGAGCACTGAACACAGAGACCAGAGAGCACTGAACACAGACCAGAGAGCACTGAACACAGAGACAAGAGAGCACTGAACACAGAGACAAGAGAGCACTGAACACAGAGACAAGAGAGCACTGAACACAGAGACCAGAGAGCACTGAACACAGAGACAAGAGAGCACTGAACACAGAGACCAGAGAGCACTGAACACAGAGACCAGAGAGCACTGAACACAGAGACAAGAGAGCACTGAACACAGAGACCAGAGAGCACTGAACACAGAGACAAGAGAGCACTGAACACAGAGACAAGAGAGCACTGAACACAGAGACAAGAGAGCACTGAACACAGAGACCAGAGAGCACTGAACACAGAGACCAGAGAGCACTGAACACAGAGACAAGAGAGCACTGAACACAGAGACCAGAGAGCACTGAACACAGAGACCAGAGAGCACTGAACACAGAGACCAGAGAGCACTGAACACAGAGACAAGAGAGCACTGAACACAGAGACCAGAGAGCACTGAACACAGAGACCAGAGAGCACTGAACACAGAGACCAGAGAGCACTGAACACAGAGACCAGAGAGCACTGAACACAGAGACCAGAGAGCACTGAACACAGAGACAAGAGAGCACTGAACACAGAGACCAGAGAGCACTGAACACAGAGACCAGAGAGCACTGAACACAGAGACCAGAGAGCACTGAACACAGAGACAAGAGAGCACTGAACACAGAGACCAGAGAGCACTGAACACAGAGACCAGAGAACACAGAGACCAGAGAGCACTGAACACAGAGACCAGAGAGCACTGAACACAGAGACCAGAGAGCACTGAACACAGAGACCAGAGAGCACTGAACACAGAGACCAGAGAGCACTGAACACAGAGACAAGAGAGCACTGAACACAGAGACAAGAGAGCACTGAACACAGAGACAAGAGAGCACTGAACACAGAGACCAGAGAGCACTGAACACAGAGACAAGAGAGCACTGAACACAGAGACCAGAGAGCACTGAACACAGAGACCAGAGAGCACTGAACACAGAGACAAGAGACCACTGAACACAGAGACAAGAGAGAGAGCACTGAACACAGAGACAAGAGAGCACTGAACACAGAGACCAGAGAGCACTGAACACAGAGACCAGAGAGCACTGAACACAGAGACAAGAGAGCACTGAACACAGAGACAAGAGAGCACTGAACACAGAGACAAGAGAGCACTGAACACAGAGACCAGAGAGCACTGAACACAGAGACAAGAGAGCACTGAACACAGAGACAAGAGAGAGAGCACTGAACACAGAGACAAGAGAGCACTGAACACAGAGACCAGAGAGCACTGAACACAGAGACAAGAGAGCACTGAACACAGAGACCAGAGAGCACTGAACACAGAGACCAGAGAGCACTGAACACAGAGACCAGAGAGCACTGAACACAGAGACAAGAGAGCACTGAACACAGAGACAAGAGAGCACTGAACACAGAGACCAGAGAGCACTGAACACAGAGACAAGAGAGAGAGCACTGAACACAGAGACCAGAGAGCACTGAACACAGAGACAAGAGAGAGCACTGAACACAGAGACAAGAGAGCACTGAACACAGAGACAAGAGAGCACTGAACACAGAGACAAGAGAGAGAGCACTGAACACAGAGACCAGAGAGCACTGAACACAGAGACAAGAGAGAGAGCACTGAACACAGAGACAAGAGAGGCCAATGAGGATTTACTGCAACATCTAAATTAATCTCACCGAACACAACCTTGGTACCAGGT